GCTCGGCTTTGTGATTGTGTTTGTGAGAATGTTTGTGTGTGCGTGCAGAGACTGCAGATGGTCGTTCTCTTTGAAGGTGCTGCAGGCTGAAACAGCCTCTGAGGTCCACTTCACTATAGAAGAGGACTGATGCAACCATTCACGAAAAATAAGGCCAAGCACAAAACTGAACCTTGCTTTCAGCATACGTATGCGTTTTCCCATCTCCCCACTGCCATATATCCAATTCCAATACAGCTAAATTGCTTCGATTAGGCAAACACACAGGCGTATATATGCTTTTGAGGGTAACAACGGAGTTATCTTCACTCAGTGTTGAGCCAGGCACCGGGTGTAATTCAGAATTTGTCTTGCGTTTCAGGGCTGTGTGACATATGGGTGTCTGGTAAACTGTGGCCCTAAGGTTCCAAGCAGATCGATAAAGAAAAACAGCCGGACCAGAAAGTTATTTCTGGTACCTGCAAACTGATTGGAGGGGAGCGAGTGGGCGTAACCTTAATATGCGTTTGTAATATCCCAGCTGACCTTGACTATTCAGGATAAGCGTAAAACATAGAAGTGGAGGTCTCCTGAGCTAACAATAAACGTGTTATGAGGCATCCGACTGCAGGTGAATGGATGGTTGATCATAATTATGGAGAAGCAGGAAATGACCAGTGTGAAAGGAGATGGGCGGCATGCATCAGCGAGTGCGTGTGAAAGTCACGAGCGCACCCAATCATTCAAAGCGCTTTACTTACTGCTGCCACACTGCCAAGTACAGCATTTCCCTTCCCATCTCCCCATTAACGGCTAACCAGTCAGATGTTTCATCTGCCAAATTATATCCCTTTATTCTTCAGGATAAACATCCTGTTGGACATGGTCTGCACTTAAAAATGAAAGGGGCGAGATTCTGTAAAAGGAAAGGGCCGGTCGAAATCAAGTGTGTTTCACAAGAGCAGATGGAGGTTCCAGCACAGATGACTCTCAATGGGTGAGAGCTGTACACGCTCCAAACGCCATTGAGCCACATAGTACATAGCCCTGTGCCCATAATGCATTACGGATAAGCATTAGTACAGGCTGGAGGTGGGCTTGAAAAACACAGGGAGGGAGGAAGTGAGAGAATAAATGCTAGAGTAACATCTCAATAAGCAGGACCTATTGAATTATTGTTTAACACGTTCTCCTACACCAGTTTAATGTGGAGAGGCCAAATAGCCATTTTTAGCTTGAACAGTGTACACGGGGCCTCTATCAGAACATTGCTATTTTTGTTTGAGTGGTGCAACGTCAACAAATAAGTTTGGATTTTTTCCAAAACGCTATACCCCGTTGCAACGTTTGGACTATGAATATGAATGATGCTTAAAGGGATAGTTCACCCGAAAATATAGCAAATAAAAATTCTGTCATATATTACTCTCCCTCATGTCCTTCCAAACCTGTAAGCCCTTTGTTCATCTTTGGAACACAAAATAAGGTATTTTTGATGAAAACTGAGATCTTTCTGACCCTGCATAGACATCAACGTAACTGACACGTTCAAGGCCCAGAAACGTAGTAAGGACATGGTTAAAATAGTCCATGTGACATCAGCGGTTTAACCTTAATTTTATAAAGCTACAAGAATACTTTTTGTGCACAGTTGCGTTGCTGTCTATGCAGGGTCAGAAAGCTGTCGGATTTCATAAAAAATGTCTTAATTTGTGTTCCCGAAGATGAACGAAGGTCTCACAGGTTGGGAACGACATGAGTGTAAGAAATTAATGACAGAATTTATCTATGTACACATGCACACGCACACACACACACACACACACACACACACGCACACACACACACATATATAATTAATACTTTTGTTCTGCAAGGGTGCATTAAATTGATGGTGACAAAAAAATTATATTTCAAATAAATTGGTAACACTTTATAATAAAGTTCAGTTGTAAGTCATTTATAAGTGATTAGTTGATGAACTAATAATTTACAAAACATTCATAAGCGATAAGTGATATGCTAACAATTTGTGCATGTTTTGTTAAAAAGTAATCGTTTACAAAACATGATTATGTGTTCATAAATGATCAATAAGTGATATGTTAATATTTTTTATCTGTTTTGTAGATTAAGTTATAAATAATTTACAAGTGATTACAAGTGACACATTTACATCAATTGTAAATGTGTTACACATCATTTGTAGATTTTTCTTACCTGTTACAAATGATTCTGTACAGAACCTGTAACCGGAAGGAACTGATGAGTATTTTACACTTTAGTTTAGGGGATGCAGAAAGTGTTGTAAATGCCTTGTATACATCTACAGATCATTTGCAACAGGTAAGAAAAATCTACAAATGATGTGTAACACATGTACAACTGATGAGTAGTTTACACTTTAGATTAGGGGATGCAGAAAGCTTTGTAAATGATTTATTCATGCATTTACACAACAGGTTTTGAATACTTTGTAGTGTGTACTGCAATGTAAAGGCTCACTGGTGAGGATTTAGACAGATGTCTTCTCTGACACACATGGAGTATTTTAACACTGTGCACCTGATGTGGTCTTCAGTTGAGTCTTCACAGAACACAAGTCTGTGCTGAAGAGAGAAAGGGTTTAACACAACCCACTGGAATCCCCTGACTGTAAGTCATTTACACATGTTTATTCACTTGACGGCAAATAATTTATTATTCTTTAAAAAAAAAAATAGTTTTAGCATAATTGCATTTTTGTGCTTTTTAACAGACCAGCTTACAACTTTAATGAAACATACAAAAATGATATACTGATAATTTACTAATGGTTTGATCATAATTTGTTCACGATTAACAAATGTTTATTGAAACAATAGTACAATGTTGACATTTCAATGAATAATAAGTGATTAATAATATATTAACTAGTAACTTATTAACCATTTTACTAAGGATCTGTTTGATTATTTCATGATATGCTATATTTTAAGATAACTTACGACAGATTTGTAAATCATTAGCATATTACTTAATAATCATTTGTGAACGTATAGTCATGTTTTGTAAATGATTAGTTCATCATTATCTAATCACTTGTAAATGATTTATGACTTAATCTACAAAACATAGATAAAAATATTAAAATATCACTTATTAATAATTCATGAACACATAGTCATGTTTTGTAAAAGATTAGTTAATCATTAACCAATCACTTATAAATGACTTACAACTGAACGTTATTATAAAGTGTTACCAATAAATTCTGTTCTTTTGAGCTTTCTGTTCATCAAAGAATCCTGGAAAAATGTATCATGGTTTCAACTAAAATATTAATCAGCACAATTATTTTCAACTGTGATAATATTTCTTGAGAGCCAAATCAACATATTAAAATGATTTTTGAAAGATTATGTGGCACTGAAGACTGAAGTGAAAGAGCTATGTCATTACCTGACTTAAAAATATACTAAAAAAATTACTTAAATTGTACTTTGTCTTTTTACTGTACTTTTTGAACAGTTGAACAAGTTGAAAAGCCTAAAAATATATATCCGGTCACACTTTATTTTAACGTCCAATTCTTGCTGTTATCAAATCATTAACTATGACTTTTGCCTCAATAAACTCCTAATTTGCTGCTTATTAATAGTTAGTAAGGTAGTTGTTAAGTTTAGGTATTGGGTAGGATTAGGAATGTAGAATATGGTCATGCAGAATATGTGCTTTATAAGTACTAATAAACAGTCAATATGTTAATAATAGGCATGCTAATAAGCAACTAGTTAATAGTGAGAATTGCTCACTATACTAAAGCGTTACATCCAAATCTATTATCATTCAAATACATCTCTACAGGTAACTACCCACCCGTCCTTAGCATTGTGCTTGCTGAGTTTTGCATGGTCAGTTTTGCAGGGTCAGATATTCTTCAGATCATGAATCAGAGCCCCTCAATCTGTAGATGTTTGTACAAATATATAATATAATATAATATAATAATGTACGAATAAGCCACTGAAAGATCGAATACTGAGCTGTGAGGGTTACTTTACGTTAAACACAGCATGGCAGGAGGCCTTAACCAACCACACACATTTTCACTCTCTTTCTACCTGATTTATGGTTGTGCACAGGCTGCTGCTGTGCTTCACGTCAGATGCAAAGATAAATTAATGCCCGCATGGATGTGAAAGCAGCCAATGGATTCATCTCATTCTTAAGTCATGAATGTATGTATGGGGGCGAGACATGGCCACAGACAACTCTGGTCTCTGTGCTGCACTGAAGACCATATGCATATAAACACCCACCCACATGAGAACAAATGAGAGAGATACAGTCTCTGCAGTCTCTTACTATGCATGGTCTTCACAGTGAAAAATTACCATTCAAGAGAGAAATGTACATTTACATGGTAACAGAAATGAATCGGCCTGAGATAAATGTATCTGTTCAACATAAATACTTAATAAAAGGCCATTATTAAACATTAAGCTTACATCTGCCCATGGGAAAGCACTTTATCTTAATTGAAGATAATCTATCTTGTCAATAAGTGAGCCAACAAAACGAAAATGTGTCACAGGACAGATATAGGTATGACACACAAGGAACACACACAAAGGAGACTCTAAGATCTGGTTTTCACACAAAAATACTACATAGTTATATAGGCATATATTTTATGTAATATATGGTGTTTAATAATTCTACATACAAATGACTAGAGTTTACTTAAAAGTAAATGACCTCCGAGGTATTTGGTCAATGCAAAAAAAAAAAAAAACAGTCTCAAAAATGTAAACAATTTCAAAAATTGAAATGTATGTCCCTGCCATGTAAAAATAAGGATGTAACAATGGCTCAAAAATAGTAGTCTTTTCTTTCACATTTCAGAGAGTACATTCCAGCTAGCAAGAGTTTTTCAGTTTTTTACTGGAGTGCTGGAGTGAATCAACTGAGTCTCGACAGGAAAGACAGGAAGGAATTTGCTTGGGAAGTGGGAAAGTAGTGAATAAAGAGTAACTTACCTTTTTGTATCTAGGTATAGGGAGCTACACTCCATCAAGAACAATTTACAGCATGCAGTCAAGCCATGCAGAGAGAGAGATGTGTGCATGCAAGGCAGAAAAGGTGGAAGAAAGAGCAGAAAAACAACAATGACACAAAATAAAACTATTTACAGATATAAGTTTAGAAATAAAGACAACACAAAAAGCATGATGTAAATGAAAAACAGCATGTGAAAATACAGAGGGGAAAAATGAAGCGCCCAGGGGGTTTGACCCATGTGCTAAAAATGTATGTGGTATTGCGCCCACTGATTTTTCTAAATGTAGAACTTTTGTGTATCTGTATGACTCAATCTGATAGTCAGTACAACCCTAAATTTAGCTGTCATGAATTGATGGAGTGTTCGGAGGTGTATTGCAGCAAACAAAAAAATGTTAAATGCTGTTAGATCAACCCTCAATTTCATCTTCAGAGGATGTCAGGGCAGCACTTTTGTTCTAAATAAATGCTTTATTTTGGCTTTGCTTTCTCAGTTGGAAAGTTGTATTTAGTGCCCATAGTTTACACGAGAACATGTCACATTGTTCAAAACAAGAAAATCAACTGAGAGAGAAAAGTTGGAGTGGAATATGTAAGTCAAATAAAACTTAATGTTACACTTTTAAATGTGTACTGACTAATACGAGTGACACCACAGGCAAAACAAATAATGAGAATGAATATCATTTCATTAAAAAAGTAGCATGTTAATTTACTGCCTGGGGGTTCAATTAAGTATCCATTTATCTAGTTTAATGCTTCATTTCAGTTTAAGTAGCATGTGTCACATCAAACTCTAGACAAATGCACAAAGTAATCCAAAGATGAGATGTTAAACACGCATAAATGGTTTATGAACAGATTAGGGGTAAATATAGTGGCTAAATAATAACAAAATAACTGATAAATGCAATATTGATCTTGCTTATCTTACTTTTAAGCAGTATATCTAATGCATTTTAAATTTAAGAAATAAGTTGTTTGAAAAGTGTGCTTCCTTTAAAATAAATTTCATTTGGTTTGAAATTTTTCAACCTGTAAGACTTTATTTGTTCTGAAAATATTTGTGACCCTGGACCACAAAACCAGTCTTAAGTCACTTGGGTATATTTTTAGCAATAGCCAAAAAAACATTGTATGGGTCAAAATTATCGATTTTTCTTTTATGCCAAAAATCATTAGGATATTAAGTAAAGATCATGTTCCATGAAGATATTTTGTAAATTTCCTATCGTAAATATATCAAAACTTAATTTCTGATTAGTAATATGCATTGCTAAGAACTTCATTTGGACAACTTTAAAGGCGATTTTCTCAATATTTTGATTTTTTTGCACCCTCAGAGTCCAGATTTTCAAATAGTTGTATGTCAGCCAAATATTGTCCTATCCTAAGAAACCATACATCAATGGAAAGCTTATTTATTCAGCTTTTTGTATTATATTATTGTAATATATAATAATACATAATACATAATATTATGTATAAATCTCAATTTAAAAAAATGGACCCTTATGACTGGTTTTGTGGTCCAGGGTCACATTTAAAAAAAAAATAAAAATTGGTACAAACTGTTTAGTTTCCACTGACGTCCAATGTATTTTTTGTCAATATATAGGAAGCAAAACTGGTTTGTTACCGACATTCTTCAAAATGTTTAATAATAGTAATACAGAGCTGGAACACCATGAGGTGAGAAAATGACGGCAATTTTCATATTTTGGGTGAACTATCCCTTGAAATATTCAAAAAACTATTTGAGGCCACTGTATGGAACAGATACCCCTTTTTTTCTGGCATGTTATTTAAAAGAAAGCACCCACAGCCACAAATCACAGGGTCAAAATGTACATAATGGAACGGGCAGAGTGTGTTCCTTAAAGTTGCGTTCAATGACATCTCAGTAATGTGCGCACAGGTTGGTGACCTCCTCTCGTTCCACTGTTGATGTGACACATTCCTCGCCTTGCATCATAGAGCGAACACTCCTGGTGAGCCCGTGACCCCTGTACATCTGCAGCTAATAAGGACGACCCTTTCAGAGCTGTCAGTTCCACGGAAAGAAAGAGCAGATCACAGACAGGTAACTTTAATTGAGTTGATGGGAGGGGGAGCATTGGGCCAGCGGCGGGGAGACCTGGGAAAATGGTGATGGGTGAATCGTTCATTGAATTGGGGTCAGCGAAAGAGAGGGCGGTTTTCTTTAATGGAGGCTGTCGTTTGAAAAGGCTGTGGTGCACGTTAAGGTTGGAGCAGATGTGTCCTTGTCTGACACAATATGAGCAATATGTGCTCTGAAATGTATCTTGGAAGGCACCTTTGAGAGAGGTGAATGAATGAATGGCTACAATCCTCTTTCTCATCACGTGTGTCTGTTCAGAAGGACGAATGGCCTGGCACTTAGGAAATGGTGAAATATTATTCTGATAAATGACTTTGGTGGTGAAAGGCGTCTACTTGTAGGTGATTTATATTTTAGTATATAAAAGCTACGGTTCTCCAATCTGAACGGTATTCCAAGGGTGATGATACAAAGTCCAACAACACTGGAACATTTCAATCCGCTTGTCTGTGTTCACTAAGTTCCAGATCAGAGCATGTGAGCAGTGGGGAATGAAACTGGAGTGGGTGCTACTTACAGTAGCTGTGCTGAATTGATGTCAGCAGGCGTAATCTCCATATAAAAAACAGCAGGCAAATTTCTGGTAAGGCAAATGTTTTTGTGTGATGGTTCTGCTCTGATTACAAATACCCCATTATCTGTACTTCTGAATGTGTGTAAACTCCATAGTCAGATTCTTTCTAGAACAGCCAATAGGAGACAGATGTACAAGACATGTTACAACTGCAGAAGAATCCAGCGCTATCCATGGTCCTGATCTGTCTAAGCTTTATTCTGCTATTTCCAGATGACTTAGGTCAACTGAAAGGTTAATCATAGGTTGGAAACTAGTTTTCAGTATAGCCCAAATTATGGCTGCACGATATTGGAAAAAACTCACATTGCGATATATTTTTTTTCTGCAATATATATTGCGATATGGAAAAAAAAAACAGATGACTTCAATAGCTCTATTTGGGAAAAAAATTCATCAATGACTGGGGTGATTTTGTAGGCGAGTAAATCAGCATAAGAAATAAACAAATTACAAGCATAGATAAATAACAGAACAATGATGCAAATGAAATAAGCAGTGCTTTATATTTTTCAGGTAAGTCTAACAGTATTCAGATACAGAAATTGAATAATCAAATGTAAAATAACACTGCATAGTTTTCACTATAAATTAAATACAAATCTGTGTTAAAGCTACAAAAGTGATTTTTCTTTGTGTTTTGTTGTTTGATTAACGTTCATGACATGAGCAACAGGAACATTAAACTGCTGTGAACCAATATACTGTTACACATCCATTTTCTTTTTCAATTGTTTCCCTTCGCCTAAGCCATAAGCATCTGTGTTTACAAGGATACTTGCAGAGCACAGTATTTCAGGCACAAATAGACGCAGAAGTGAACGGAATTCAGTGTTCACGTGCATCTGCGTGGCTCTCACCGCGTCTACACCGGACACGAGCGGCGCGACAAAATACAATAGAACCCATTATAATCAGTGATGCTGACTGTCTACACTGGATGCTGCACACAAATCCCCGACAGTAAACTGATGCATCGTTCTCTTTATGATGTACTGACACAAAGTTCAAATGATATGCAACGGTTGCTTTGTCGCGTCCAGTGTAGACAGACTTTGGGGCCGTTCACATTTCGTGCCTAAAAACGCGTGGAAAACGCCAGCCGCGCCGCTTTCTCCTTCTTTCCAAAGTGCTCGGGAGCTTACATTTTCGTGGTGTCTGCCGTTGCTAAGCGACCGTGACCTGAATCGCCAAACACCAATGACTTGTACATATGCGTACAATCATTTTAGACACTTCCAAAACTGTGGCAAAAAAGATGGAAATACAATTTTTTAATACATGAATTATGTTTCCATCTTTTTTGCCAGTTTTGGAAGTGCCCTTTTCTGTTCTAAAGAAGGGGGTGTCCCAATACATTTGTCCATATGTATGTACAAGTCACAGGTGTTTGGTGATGAGTTTTTGTCTCAAGGTCTTCATTTAAAGTCACACCAGAGGTGTTCAGCTGGCTTTCTGCAGAGCAGTCAAGTTCTTCCACACTGACTGAATCAATCATTTCTTTTTGAACCTTGCCTTATACACAGGCATTGTCGTGTTAGAATAGACAAGGGTCCTGTCCAAACTCTTGTTTTAATTTAGAAGCACACAATTAATTCAGAACATCACGTTAAGATTTGTACTCTTGGAAATTACTAAAGTAGTCAAACCTGTTCATTAGAAGGCCACACTATTCTGCTGATATGGAATGAGTTTGACTACTTAATCAGTTATATTAATAGAAATGCTTCACTGGGGCAAAATAAAAAAAAAAAATCCTAAAATAATAAATAGGATACCCCGCATTTTCAGCAGTATCCACCTTTTCTCAATCATGATCTTACTCAGCTAAATGTGACTATTAGCTTAATAGCTGTATTCCTTGTTTGCTAGCTACCTATGCACACACAGCATACAATGTTAAAAATGTTCTACATTATGAACCTTAACCCAAAAACCTTTAGCTTCATACACTGTAGATAATTGTGACCCTGCCTATGGATAATTTAGCTGGAAATGCAGAAATAAGCCGTAATTTTGTTTTATTTGTAACTCTTTGGTAGATACATTTATAATTTCTATTACATTACTACTACTACTACTACTAATAAAACAGATCTCTGGGGGCCCCAAAAGTGCGTGCGCCCTTAGAATCGTCCTAACTTCCCCCCCCTTAGCTGCGCCCCTGAGCTCTGCTACTAAATTGATTTAAAATGGGTATCTCTGTACAGCTGTCGCGTCTGGTGTAGACACGGTGTCTGTGTGTGAGCAAAGAAAACAATCAGTATAAATATAACGATCAGTATACTAAACATCGCACATCCTGC